AATTATTTAACCGACTCATAATTGCATTTTCACGTGGAATATTATCATCTCTTAGTACACAACACACAACACACTTCGCGAAGCTTATGCTTTTAATATATATATTTTTCTTCTGACAAGCTTACCTTTAAGCACAACTTACCTTTAAAAAAATGTCGTTAGGACTTTTAAATTTGCTACAAAGTTTCCCGTTGTGTTTTTTTAATGACAACATTCTTGAAACTGTTTAATAGTTTTTTTTCTAAAATAAAAATATTTTTGAATTAACTTTCATGTTAACTAGGACTCCATCTCTTTTTTGGGTGATATTAAGAGTGTATTTTTCACGCATCTCTAAACACATAAAATCAAAGAATCAGACATATCTTCTTAGATTAACTTCTTAATATATAAACACATAAAATCAAAGAATCAGACATGTCTTCTTAATTATTAGATTAACTTCTTAATATAGAAAATGTTGGGAATTTCGACAGAAAATTACTGACTTATACATGAACTCATTGTTTTTTTCTTTACATGTGAAAGAAACTCATGTGCAAAGTAATAAAACTTTTCCAGGTTTTACTTCCAAACCTCACTTGCGGGTCATATATATGTTTTTCCTTCTATTGGATTGTCCTATCAGCATGATATTACTTGCAGATTTTGACAACCTTATTTAGTTTTATTAGTGCTTTGTTTTTTAGTATTTTTTTATTTTATCCTTTTATAATTTAATTTCTTGAGTTAGATGATCATTATTTTTAAAAATTTTTTTCTATTATGTCAAGTTATTTTTTTATTATTATTTAAAATACAATGAGAGCAGTTTAACATCGTTCTTTTACGTTACAAAGAAATTGGTCCAGCCCGCGCCTTCTCCGGGTCATTAATGTAGTTATATAACTGTACATCATCATAGTCCCTGTGGATCCTGATCGCCCGTAATCCACACTGAGTCACGGAGCAGCCTGCTTTGAAGAAGTTCTTAGCCCAAGTCAATAACTTGTTGATCATCATGGTTCTGTCTAGCTAGCAAGTTGCCTCATTCTCAGAAAAATGTCATCCGCCCATCAAACTCCTTTTATTTTTTCAGGCTTGTGTATCTTGGTGTCGACGTCTACTGCAATGAGGTTAGCTTTCAAAGCTTTGATATGGTTAAACGCAGGCCTCCGATCTCAAGGGATTCATGAGAATTTTTTTAATATAATTTTAAGATTTGAATTCTAATGACTAGACAGCTAACAGACTCTTTTAAGTCTTGACAGTCCGTCCAAACCCAGAAGTTAATTAAGGTTTTTACCCTGTATGATACAATAATCTGCTAACTGCACGCCAACTTGTCCCAATTCCACACCTTTTCATAGACATTTGCAATTAGGAATAATTACGGAGGTTTATATAGGCAGAGAATGTATCATTTTTTATATATATATATAATGAAAGTCTCCTAATCTCTTTAGTCGTGTCCATTTATATTAAAGACAATCTTTAATCTTTCGTACTCGTCTTTGTTGGAGGTGAATATAAGTTGAAAGTTTCTATTTTTTTTCCATGATCAATTTTTAACAAGTACAGTACATTAGCCATAAAAAGAAATAAGATATTTTACATTTATCAAACAAGGTTAATAAAGACAATCAATAAAAGAGCGTAGGTTATTTTATAATGCAATAAAACAGACTGACCTTAATACCGGATTAATTTTTATATTTTTGTTTAATGACTGCACGAGAAAACTTGAGTATCTGACAGGGATTAAGCTACACGCACCAAAGCAGCTCGGTAGATATACATTTCTTCATGATTTATATTTCATTTTACCTGCGAAGAAGGGAAAGGAAAATAGCTGATGGTCATTTGATGGCTCAAAAATATATAAACTTTGGAGTCTTTTGGCTTCAATTGAGTCATTACGTAGAATGAAGCCACTGTTTCTATGATGAGACGAAGACTTTTTGTTCACCACCTCATCAATGAACACACATGGCATGGGCACGGGTAGAGTTTTGTTTCAAGTTGGATTCACGGGATGAGACGGTATATGAGTTATGGAACCGGCGAGAATTAACATCGATGCTCGGTCACGTTGAATCGAACACGTTACGTACACCGGAAATGGGCAAGTTGAAAGGGTCCTGGAGACGAAGCTCTTAATTTTTCTTTCACTAACTTAATTGTTTAATCGAGTCCGGCCAAATAATATCTAGTTTTGACAAACCTATCATATCCAGACATGATAAACTATGTTTTGCTTCCGATTGAATCATGGGCTAATAGTTTTGGAGACACCGAGATTTCGGGTTTATGTAGGCACCTGACCCAAACCTATCATATCCAGACATGATAAACTCTTAATTTAATCTCTATCTCTCTCTCTCTCTCTCTCTCTCTCTCTATATATATATAAACTTTTATTTAGACCAGAATGCCACTGACCCAAGCCCAGTTGAAAGCCAACCAGTAAGGAAATAAGGGCAGTGGAACAAAAATAATAAGAATAATAATAAGCCATCTCATTAACATGTTATGATTATATCCATAATCTAGATTGTGATTTATTAATTAAACCCGATCAAGCGGACTGGAGAATTCGTTATAACTTTATATTAAAATTAAAATAGTTAAATATATCATACTTATTTTTCATAAAAAATATCCAATATTTTTATTGATTATCCAAATTATTTTTTGCCTGTTAAATTAATTAAGTAACATAAAGGTTAATTTTATACTTTGTCTATGCAAATAATCAAGTAGGAGATTTAAACATAGACTCACTAGGTTGATTTTAATAGCATTATCAAAAGAATTTCCATTACCCGGCTACATTCCAAGCATTCAACTACTAAAACAATAATTGCACAACCATTATTAATTTGAATAAGACGGGATTGCCTATCAGAGAGATCTGGAGAGAGTAAAAGAAAGGGAAACAAAGGATTTAGAACGAGCTTTCTCACCAGACTGACTCCCATGTTTTGCCTTATTTCTCTCTTGAAGATCGTAATGCCACTTATAAGTCTATTTCGATCCTTTTATTTTCCCGCTTACCCTCATTTTTTTTCAATTATTAAATAAACTCGGACTCGAATCTTGTAGGAATCTACTCTATAACAATTCAACTATAGTTCATTGAAAATGTTCCACGATTCAATTTACGTTTGATTTTTGTGGGAAAAAAAATTCCATCAAAAATCGTGTTCGTTTGTATAAAATATTATATAGATAAAAAAATCAAAAACATAAAACACCTTTGCATTAATTTTTTTAAATTTGATAAATAATGATGTTGAAATATAATCAAGATAAAATGGCAATGATTATGTTAATGATAAAGCAATGATAGTTAAAATAATGATGGTGATAGTACAATGGTGTTGGAGGCCATGGTTTAAATGGTGCTAATGGTGAGGTGACAAGGTTATCAGACAAGGTGACAGTTAAAAGCATAAAAATATAAGTTACTAGATATCATATCATATAATTATTGAATAAGATTTAGCAAGTCTTTATTGCAAATCTTAATAGAAGTTTAACATGACCCGCCACCCAAATTTAAAATTAAAATGGTGCTAATGGTGATTATTTTGTCTCTAGGATTTGGTTTTATGTGATTCCGATCATGATTTATTTTTAATTATATTGGTTTTAGCACTCCGATGAGTGCCAAGTGTACAAGGAAAGCTCTCTTCATCGAGCTGTATTGAATACAATGACTACAATGATGCAATTATTTAGGATTAGATGCGTAACATTAAGAACTCAATTAATTGATATGATATTTGAAGGATGTAGTGTGACGATAAAAGATTTAAAATTTGTATAATAGATTTTGAGTTTAAATGAAAGTATATATTTTTTATAAAAATTTAGGATAGCTAAGTTTTTACTTGTTTATTTAGGCTCATAAAATACATTTTATGGAGAATGAGGTTCCTCAAATAAAAAAAAAAGATTAATTGATATAACTAAGGAAGGATTAAAATAGTTAAATATAATTGATATATATATATATATATATATATATATATATATATATATATATTCACAGGGGTAAGAAATATCTCTTATCAAATATTGAGTAGCTTGACAGTAATGGATTTTACCTTCGCTAATTTTTCAGACAATGCAAACCTCACTTGGTGCAAGCCAGGACCACATAATCTAAACGCACCGCTCACTTATTTTTCACAAGAAAAATTATTAATCTGGATCGATAGAATAACTTTCCAGCCAAACTCAACAGAAAACTCACATGTCTCCCTTCCCGTAGTCAAACCTCTCTGATGCCCAGGAACGATAATTACCTATCTTCTTCATCATCAACGTACAGAACCCTCAGGCCATATTTGATCCGCGCATGCCTGGTTCAGCTTGCTCAAGTGTTTCATTCATGGCATTAATCAAGGAAGGAGAAAAGCACTACAAAGCAAGCCCTATGAGCCATCATCCTCAATTGGTTTCAAAACCCGATGGAGGAAATCTGGTTTTCAACAACAATTATTAAAAGTAACCATGCCTATTCTAAATCAAAAAGTAACCACGTCTTAGGCTGGAATCATGCGAATCTACCGCTAATCTGAAAAATCAAAATACAAGAAAACTTAATTTAATAGTCCGCTAAATTTTGTGCTTCTTTTTTTAACCACACCGAAATTTGTCGACATCTTCCTCCTCCAATTATCTTAGCAGACAAAGAAAGGGTTACCGACCCATATACTCAGCTATTCATTCTCCTATGTAGGACCCACATTCAGTTCCTATCCACGTGTCGACCATTAATGGTTCGGTGGACGATACAATCCTTCAATGGCAATAAACCCACCGACCGACCCTCTTCGTGGGTTTTCTTGTTCGGGTAACCGCTTGCCCAGTAACCCGAATTGACCCGGTCAAGCATGTTTTGCATCGGGATCCTGACTCCATCCAGTAATGTCCATCCACGTGGTGACGATCCACTGGTCCATAATCTGGAATCCAATGACAGCTTCTCTTCTCTTTATAAAATCCATGACACTCCACCTTTCTACTTTGCTCCACCATTAAGAAAATGGCGCGAAAATCCCTAACAACTGCCCTGGGAAATCTTCGCGTCACTGCCTTTCTTTTCCTCTCTCTCCATGCAGTCATCGGCAGTGGCCATGATTACCATGACGCCCTCCGCAAGAGCATTCTCTTCTTCGAAGGCCAGCGCTCCGGCAAGCTCCCTCCAGATCAAAGAGTCAAGTGGCGCCGCGACTCCGCCTTGCATGACGGCTCTACCGTTGGTGTAATTACTCTAAACTCCAGCGTTTTTCATTAATATACATTGCTGCATTGCTCTAATCAGCTGCTTATTTTACCTCATTTCTTGCGACATTCTATTTTGCAGAGGGATTTGACGGGAGGATATTACGATGCCGGGGATAACATAAAGTTTGGATTCCCAATGGCATTTACGACGACATTATTGTCATGGAGCATTATTGATTTCGGAAGGAACATGGGGCCGGAGTTGAAGAACGCCGTCAAAGCAGTCAGATGGGCGACTGATTACTTACTAAAAGTAACCGCGATACCTGACGTCGTTTATGTCCAGGTAGGTGACGCGTATTCGGATCATAACTGCTGGGAGAGGCCGGAGGACATGGACACTCTGAGGTCGGTGTATAAGATCGATGGATCCCACCCGGGATCTGACGTGGCTGGTGAAAAAGCCGCAACCAGCCGCTGCTTTGGCGGCCGCGTCCATTGTATTTCGTTCACGTGACCCTGCCTATTCTAGGTTGCTTCTCAATCGAGCCGTTATGGTACGTCATTTTCAAACTGGGCTAAGATAGCTCTGTGGCTCCTCCTTATTTTTTTAGGGTTTGCAAACTGTCTTCTTGATATTTCACTTTCTTCTCAATTAGTGATCGACTCTAGATCTTTCATCTCGTTTACTGGTTATAGCCTGCTGTTTTACGTTTATATTTTTGAAAATTATATCCTGTTTTTTACAGCCATTTTTGTTTTTTAAATACAATATACATGATTGATAGCATTTTACTATAAGAGATAGTGTGCTATTTTCTAGCAGCAAGAGTAGTGTCTTTCTTTTCCTTGGAAATTTAAGTGGGGTGGACCATAAAGAATAAAGGCATATTAATGTGACTACGAATTATCTTGAACTGGGCTGTGTGTTGATAATATCTGTACCTTGTGTGAAAACGTTTCAATGATTAGTGGCATGAACTTTGAAGGAGTACCAAATAAAAAAAATGATGCCTGTAAAAGGACAATGGTTTATGGAGTGAACTTAGATTTGTGCCACCGCATATCTGTTCAATTATTATTTCATATATATATATATATATGTATGTATGTATGCCCAACTGTTCATATCAAGTTTGACTGCATTGGAGGACAGTGAGATTTATTCTTTATGCTGATTAAACTATAAAAGGTTGTTCTTTTGATATTATTATTCGAGAAAAATGCACTAGATCAGTTATTTTAAACATTCGTCCCTAAACTTGTTTTGGAATTATTCAATCACGGGTTGGTGTAGACGTGTGGTAGCTGTTGTCATTTTAAACGTATGCACATTTTGGAAATAGAGCGAGAAACTGACCGTTTTGTGGGTGAAACGGTCACTTCGTAGGTCTTCGACTTTGCTGACAGACACCGCGGTGCGTACAGTAGTAGCTTGCGTTCTGCAGTTTGCCCTTTTTACTGTGATGTGAATGGTTACCAGGTAAGCAACAGCCGTACCACGTAATGAAAACCAGCCGTTAGATCAGCATGTCGAGATAAAAAACGGCCCAGGATTAATAATAATGGTGATATTGCAGGACGAGTTGCTCTGGGGAGCAGTGTGGTTGCATAAGGCCTCGCGCAGGCGCAGATACAGAGAGTATGTAGTGAAAAACGAGGTAATATTGCATGCTGGAGATACCATCAATGAGTTCGGGTGGGATAACAAGCATGCTGGCATTAACGTCCTCATTTCCAAGGTAAGAAAAAACCCTTCCGAAAAATTTAACTTTTCTAGCTCTAAATATCAACCAGTAGTTCCTGCTAATATATAGTATCATCTTATTTTACGATAATATCGATGCTTTTAAAATCTCCGCTTGCTTATCAAACCCCTCTGTCTTGTCTAGGTTTTATTGTTCTCCTTTTCTTTTTTAACAGAGTTTTTTGTCTTGCGTTCTCATATCCTGAACAGAGTTATAAAATAAAAATTGTACGGGTATCACGTGATGAAGCATAAGCAAAGAACATCTTCGGTAGTGTGGATTCCGCACATCGTTGGACCCACAAGTCAAGATAAACTAAAAAGAGTGTAGAATGATATGCTAGATATCTACACTGGCTCAAATAAAAGCCTAGATCGAAGGGAAATGAAATCTAAAAACTCGAATCATATTTTTATTGTGGGGTCATCAATATAATTGTGACCCTGCTAGCTAATTTTTTGATCGTAGTGACCATATGAAAATATGGGAAGTGAATATAAAATAATATGAATAAAAATGATGAAACTTGTTAATTTTGATGATTGCACATGATTAGATTAGAATTTGGTTCTGGTTTTCATGTGCGCTGGCACCGATTTTTCCTCGGTATAATCCGTGCATTCTTCAAAGCATAAAGCTACCAAAAAAAAAAAGCCATAGAATTAGGAGCTTTAATTAGAAGGGTATAACTGTCTTTAAAGTTTGTTAGAATTGAGAGTCGTTGTGTCTTAGAGCCAAGTCACCACAGTCCAAAGGTGCAACGTGAAATGCCCTGAAAGTCTATGTTTTCGTTTTTCAAGATCTAAGCTTTTTGGGGGTCCCAGAATCACGCATGTGCCAAAAGGATGGGTCTGTTGTTCTTCCCATGCTCTGAGCCCGTTATCTTTTCGACCCCCACTTTTCTTGAAAGTGACGGGGCAATTCCTTGATGCTCTCCTAGTTTCGGTCTCCCAAGTTCTAGTAATTCTGATAGCTGAACTTTGAATATTTAAGCAACTGGGAGTCAGGAAGAAACTTGGAAAAAAAAGAAAAAAAATCATCTATGCTCATGAATTTTAGCAACTGGGGTCTCGTAACATGATAAGGAAGGCAGCAAGTACTCATTCAACCTGATATACAAGACAACACCATACACAGTTACAGCATTAATTTTTTCTGTTAAATTTATTTATAACAGGAAGTGTTAATGGGAAGAGCAGAATATTTTGAGTCTTTCAAGCAGAATGCAGATGACTTTATTTGTTCTATATTGCCTGGGATTTCTCATCCTCAACTTCAATATTCTCCAGGTATTTTACCTTCATATGTATGTATGCAAATATTATATAATCACAATTTTTCCCTGATCATTTTGACAGCTAAATCGCAATACATTTTAGCATCTTCTTCACTGTGAAAAATACCGTTATGTAGGAGAAGCATGTGAACAAGTTTGTCATTTATATGCAGCAGTCAGAGAATTATTGTGCTTTTTCAGCAAAGTTTTTGTGCACTCACTCTGTTTTGGGTTTGGAATATTTTTTCTACTTTCTTATGCGCGGCTAATAGTTTGCTTGTCAAAATGTATCTGTCATGATTGAAAAAGGCGGGCTGATCTTCAAGGCTGGAGGGAGTAACATGCAGCATGTAACGTCTTTGTCTTTCCTGCTTTTGGCCTTTTCTAGTTATCTAAGCCATGCCAATAAGGTCGTGCCATGTGGTGAGACGACAGCTTCCCCTGCCCTTCTCAAGCAATTGGCCAAACGTCAGGTAACTTCTATTTTATCTTGTTATCCGTTAACCAGAAAGTAAAAACAAAGGACCCCTTCTCCAAGCGGCATCATGATTACATCAGTCTGCTTTAGGATAATTCATGGGACAGTCGGTCCGACTATCAAACTGGCTTTAATCATAGAGGAGATGCAAAATAGCAAGGAAAAACCTTGTACGAATAATTCTTTGCTTGTGGGTTGTTGTGGCAGGTAGACTACATTCTTGGAGATAATCCACTGGGGATGTCATACATGGTTGGATATGGTCCACGTTATCCACTGAGGATCCACCACAGGGGCAGCTCGCTGCCATCAGTGCAGGCGCACCCCGCTCGCATTAGGTGTAAAGAGGGGTCGCGCTACTTCTTAAGTCCAAATCCAAACCCCAATGTGCATGTGGGTGCGGTTGTTGGTGGGCCTAACATCACAGATGCTTTTCCAGATTCCAGGCCATTCTTTCAAGAGTCAGAGCCCACGACATACATCAATGCTCCCTTAGTAGGCCTACTTGCATACTTTTCAGCCCACCCTTGATTTCCGGAATGGAAAGGATCATTAATTCAGTGGTGTGCAAAATGGTCGCCCTACCAATTACTGTCAAAGATTCTAATTGTCCCTAGCTAATGAAGAAAGAATGTTGATTCTGCGAAACGATGGCGCTTTCATTTTCTCCTTTGTTTCTGTCCTTGGTAATAATTGAACATCTCAGATGCTATGTTCAATGGCGAAGCCATCAAGATGCCAGACAAATTAGCATAATTGAAAATTTATAATATACTAATAAATCATTGAAAACTGTTAACTCCAATAATTGGGATGACAAAGGCACACCCTTCAACGATGTAAGGTTAGTCTCTGGATTTCAAATTTTTTTTTTAAAAAAAAATCAACTTAGAAGGGTGGGAGTTTCAATTTGTTCACAATATTTGAAATTTTTAAAGGGTGGTTTATAATTAAGTTTTTGGCATTGGAGACTGGAGACAATATTATTTTTCCTAATTATTGAATGCTTGTGTCCACATAACAATCACGTAAAAATTAAAAATGTACTTAAGAAGTTAAACAAGTTAACTACATTAATAACAGACCACTGTCACTTGCGGTAGTAAAAACATTGCCTAAAAGAGGGGGGGAGTATTGATTAAAATCTAAAAATAATATCCAGTCATAATTTACTCTTTTATATATATTTAATATAAATTTTAGGAACAATAGACTACCTTTGATCGTAGTAGCCGGAAAAGAGAAAAGTCGTAGCAATAACATTGATTCATGAAAACTCTGGCCATCTTAAGACCAAATGATGTGGGGAGTTGGGGCTGTAAATTTGCTAACATTCTTCCATTTTCTGAACCAAGTTTTGCTAGTCAGTTGAGACCAGAGATGGAGTTGGTTAGGGACTATTATTTATGTCAAAGCTCATGGAAATGCAGGTGCACTAGGTGCTCAGTTTTCCTCTCTCTTTTTTTCCTTGGCCTTTGACTCCTTCCCATTTTCAATATATATTCAAGCACTGACTTGTCATCCATCTGCTCCTCAGGATGGTGATGATGAATCTGGGTAAAAGTGAACCGCACTAACTCGAGTCCACTAGTGTTGTTGTGGTAAAGAATGGTAACTCAATTAACCAGATTAAACAACAGATTTAAAAAAAAAAAAGATTTTGTTCAAAAGATGTTATTTCAGCGTTGTTGTTTTATTGAAAGAGAATCACTGAAGTAATATCGTTTTGGGCAAATATTGTTTTGAAATTGACACCGCCAACCGTGACCTTGATTGTATCTAATAACTATCAGATCCTGTTTTATCTTGCGATGATAATATTGGCATATCTTCTTTCTAATTGTTGCACGGGTTGCCCGGAAGAGCGTTGACTAATAAACAAACCAGCTGTTTGTGAATGCTCAATATGCAGATAGCAAAGCATTCTCTCACTCTTTGTTGGCAGAGGTTGGTTGAGATGTGTATCACAATCAATGCAAATTTCAATTTTGTAGCCAAGCAAATTCCTTTTTCCTTCTTGTTTTCTTGTTGGGTATGGTTTAATTTGGTGTATCTAATTCCAGATCTGCTTGGACAATTGATGCAGACTGAAGTTACGTGGGAAGCATAAATTCCATATTAAAACATAAAATTCAACGCAACATAAAAATAATAATAAAAATTGTTATATTATAAACTGCATGAGTGCTCAAAATATAATTTTAAAAGATTCAACGATACATTCAACACGATTAAATGATTGATTGAAAGTGCATTTTGGTATTGTTGTAGTTGTTGTAGTTATGATTTGAAAAAAATTATTTTATAAAAAATATTTTTAATTGAGATTGATTTGAAAAAATAAATGTTTGGTTAAAACTATAGTTGAAATTGAGATTGAAGAAAAAATAGTTTAATGTGTTTGATTAAAAATACTTTTGAAATTAAGGTTATAAAATAATTTTAAAAAATATATATTAATATTGATGGTTTTAAATTTAAATATTGTAGAATTAATTACTCCTATTATATCATGAAATAAATAATACTTTATATAAAA